TATGCACGGGGCGTATGTACGGCGCTGTATGTACTGACTTCCTGAACATTTAGAAGTCATAGAATATGTTCAACTCGAGACATATAAAACATTTTTCAAACGGAGAAAGACCATAATACTGGGTATCTGTGGACTATTTTAGTTTTTTCTTTAGATTTAACGATTCTTTCGTTATCAGCCTGGAACCCATAACTTCTCAGTCAACAACCTACCCGAAGTTCACTACGGTCTGTGTCTATATACACGGCGCTGTATGTACTGACTTCCTGAACATTTAGAAGTCATAGAATATGTTCAACTCGAGACAGATAAAACATTTTTCAAACGGAGAAAGACCATAATACTGGGTAACTGTGGACTATTTTAGTTTTCCTTTAGATTGAACGATTCTTTCGTTATCAGCCTGGAACCCATAACTTCTCAGTCAACAACCTACCCGAAGTTTACTACGGTCCGTGTCTATATACACGGCGCTGTATGTACTGACTTCCTGAACATTTAGAAGTCATAGAATATGTTCAACTCGAGACAGATAAAACATTTTTCAAACGGAGAAAGACCATAATACTGGGGTAACTGTGGACTATTTTTACGCGACAAACTATTTATTTAGCATGTCCATGTTAGGAAAACACGGGGTATGCCCGCTTCTGTTGTTATGGCGTAATAAATGGAACACGTCCTTGCTTATTTGACATCAGATTTGTTTCGCTTGCTTGTAATTAGTGAATAAAAATTAAGGAGGCTGAACTCCCCATTCTAGTTTTAATCTTGTACTTTTTTCGGTGCATACCAGGGATTCCCTTAATAACGGGTCGGGGACGGAAATATCTGGCACGGGTTTGCTAGTTTATTTGTTTACTTGTCCTAACGAGTGACTTGGGGACTCATTAATTCTTTTCTTCAAGATACTGTATAAGTTTAAAGCATTAACTTGATGTATTTCATGATGCTTACACGATATTTTGTACAGACTGCCTTTACAAACTGGACCAAAGGGTTTCAAACATGTGATTCTTTACTTAAATAGTGTTTCAAACGCCTTGACTGGCCTTGGCCAAACTATCAATGTGTCGCGATATTCGGCGCTTTCACTTGTAAAATGGATAATTAGCAACACAAGAGTGGCAAGCGAGAGGGAGTGGGGGGGGGGGGTTCCACGACCTTTTGTTCGTTGATTAGTACTGAATAATGAAGTACTGAATGATGAAGATGCCATTAAGGTAGAAAAAACAAGTGCAAAATAAAAAGAAAAGCTCAGAATTACATAGTTTACAATGAAATTATTGAAATTTGTAAATCATGCCTGTCAGAAAGCCGTTACCATGGCAACGGTAAACAAGCTGAACTTGACTCATCCTAACAGAATTGTTGCCAACTAAATTCTAGAAAAATTCCCCAAATTGCGTGGTTCTAGTGTACGCCGTTCGAGAATTTTGGCACCTCAATGTTGGCGCGGTCATTTTTAGCAGCAAGGCAACAAAATGTACAATATTACAAAATGTATAAGTATCTCATTTTTGCATAAATTATGATAATGAGCAGAATGAATTCTCATCTAATCATGTCAAACTCTCTCTCATAGATTGATTAAACTATAAATATTTAAAAATTACAAAAAGAGTTTTAAAAGTAGCTGCATTCGTGCAAAACATTATGGGGTCAGTTTTGACCCCATACGGTAAGATTCGTCGCAAAAAAACTTTCGGTGGTTTGAGGGTTAACCAACACAGAGCTGGAGATGTTGTGGTATAGGATTGACACCCACTTCCGAAAGGAAGGGCCAAACCCCATCTTTGTGAGTGTCTTGTGTAGGAAGGAGATGTTTACGCGGTCAAAAGCTTTCGCTTGGTCCAGAGAGACAATTGCACAGTCCATGTTGCTGTTATTGGCATAGACAACAATGTCTCGAATAAGTCGGAGGTTGCATTGGATTGATCTGCCGGGTATACCATAGGTCTGATTCTTTTTTTATAGCTTCGCCATACCACGTAGTGGTATGGGAAGGTATATTGTATTTGTAGCTTCACAACACCACGTAGTGGTGTAGTGAACTACATTGTTTTTCCTCATGTTTCTTCTTCTTCTCCTGCCTTTTCTTTGAATGGTTTTATTTTTGGGCCAAATAACCTGAAAATCGGTATGGCGGTAAAGTGGGCAAATACCCTCACCCGATTTTCTTTCATTTTCTTAAAACATGCTTTTAAAATGGTTTTATTTTTTTGCCATTTTTCGACAAAATCTGTACATTTCTGGCCATGGAGACATAGCATTACACCCAAATGATCTGTTATTTGGTGTGGTTATGTTTCATATATTTACCAACAACAGTCCATTATAATTTTGGCATGCATCCCTTTAAAATTGTATAATTTGAGACTTCTTGACTGTTTTCAGGTCCAAAATCACTGCACTGCACGGGCTGACTCATTAGTTTGGCATGCAGGCATGAGCCAATACACATGCATCTTTTTCCTAGGGAAGGCTGTTGCTGATTGGCTGTTTGGCTAATGAGTTAACTGGCTGGACCACCTGCACCAGCTACAAGATATGTCAATGGAGGAAATGTATTCACGTGTTTTGAGTACCACTGTACATGTCAAAGTCACTTTCCTGCTCCAGCATTAGAATACTGGCCCCCAGTAAATGTTTTTTTTTAGATATTAAAAACCAAAAGTTTGTATTATGCGAATAAAAATCCTTACCAATAATGTATGGGGCGTTTTGGGCGAAAAGACCTGAAGTTTGGTATGAAGGTACCAACGTGTTTTTTCTTCATTTTTTACTTTTATTTTTTTTTTTCACTTTTACTTAAAAATGCTGTATAGGGGTTTTGAGCACTATATGGGTTTTTTGAAAACACCTTATACTGAAAAACACAACATTGGGTGTTTTGTGAATACGTGTTACTGAATAGCACTGCATGGGTGTTTCAAGAACAATTTACCGCAAAGCACTGTATAGGGGTTTTGAGCACTACATGGGGGTTTTGAAAACGCATAATACTGAAAAACACAACATGGGGGCTTTCCGAATACTTACTACTGAATAGCAATGTATGGGGGGGCGGGGTCGAGAACATTTTACTGAAAAGCACTGTATGGGGGTGTCAAACATATTTTACTAAAATTACTGTAAAGGTATTGGGGACTAAATAGGGCACTGAAACACTTGGTATTGCTATAACATGGAAAGGTTGATATGAAACGGTCCCTTTTAGAACGAGGAAGAAGATGGACATAAATACTGTATTTGCTGCCAAGCAAATGTCTGCCGACGTGGCAATGCTATATACTGCATTTTATAGCTTTATTATCATTCTCACAAACCATAACTTTATTGTTTGGATGGTTGTGACTGTCCCTGGTCATGTCACCAGGCTTGTACGAACAGATCTGTTCAACTCTCGTCATAAAAAACTAACCTTTTTTCTCTCTCCTTCCTAGTACGGTTTTAGGTTGTCTTTTCCAGGCGTTATGTAAGCAAAGTGCGTTTCTCTTTCTCTCTTTTTTGTAAACATTGCATCATACATAAATAATTACATATACAAAAGGGCTTCCTTCTTCTTTACACTTTTTATATAATATATAGTATACTAGAAAGGCAGACATTTGCTCGGGAGCAAATGCAGTATGAAGCTTCACCATATCAGGCAGACATTTACTTGGGAGCAAATATAGAATCTCTGTCCATCTTCTGCCTCGTTCCAAAATGGACTTTCATATCAACCTTTTCCATGCTATAGCAATATGAAGTGTTTCAATATCCCCATGCATGTAATCCCCAATACCTTTACAGTGCTTTTTAGTAAAATATTCTTGAAATCCCCATACCGTGCTTTTTAGTAAAATGTTCTCGACTCCCCCCATACAGTGCTATTCGGTAGCAAGAATTCGCAAAACCCCCAAGTTGTGTTTTT